CCCCCAGTCCGGAGCCCGGACGCTCCATCCACCGAGCCAAACCGGCTCCGGCTCATATAGTGTTCTTAGTATTAACATATACCACAAAAAGATATCCCTCTAACATATGAGAATTAGATACATGCAGTATTTAATCAGATAATGAGGCTCACCTATGTTTTTTAAGTTTTGCTTCTGCATCTGAAACCTGCTTAGTAACCATTGCTATTCTGCCAATCCCATCAATTTCCACATCAGAGTTTGCTGGAGATGATGAACTTGTCTTCATCTGATCTGGTTTAATCAAACGCTGTTTTTCCCGACTAAAATAATAAAGACAGGTGAATTATACCAAAGAATAAATGGAAATTATTTTTCTTTAGAGATGTATTCTATTTCATAATATAAACTAAAAAGTATTAGTCATGTTGACTAATAACAATGATGACCAATATTCATGACCCAAGATGGTTTTCAAAGTGGAGAGTGTAGCTCTCCTTTATATTAGCTTTTCTCTTTTTCTCTAAGTTGTTGATCTCAGTGTATCACTGTAGTCAAGTCTACAGATGATCATCTGGCTCCCCCTCCTGTGTGAGTTGTAAAAAATATTAACTCTGCATCTTGAATAAAACCACGCACTATTCATTTCCCAATGCCAATAAACTGTATACAGACTTAGTTAACAAAACAACACATATCTTTAAAGCTAATTACATAAAATGCCACTTACTTGGCAATCTCTTCCTTTAACAATCGATATTCAATCTTCTTTTCTTCAGGCAAAGATTCAGGTGTTCGCATGGGATCATTTTCTTTTTCAGATTTTGGAGGTACCTTCGGTTTTGAAGCTTGCTAGAAAACATTTGAAGTCAACCAGATCAACAACTTTCACGTATTTCATACTAAGATATATATTTTACATTGCAACCTAGTGTGCATTTGTATTTATATATTAAGAAATAATTGACTATCTTCACTATTTTCTATTCCTTTTTTAAATTAAATTTATTGGGGTAATATTGGTTAATAACATACAATTTCCAGATATACAACATTATAATTCAACATGTGCATACTCTATTGGGTGCTCACAACCCAAAGTCTAGTTCCCTTCCATTATCATATATATTTGACCCTTTTTACTCACTTCTCCCTCCCCTAGCCGGTTGTTAGCCACCAAACTAATTAGTAATAAGTAATCAAGACCTACAGTTTGAAAATAATTGAACTATATCCTATCTAAACAACTGCTGCAGTAAGAATAGGGATAAAAGTTGCACTTAGATTATACCCTTCAATAAAAACTGTTTTCTGGTAATGTAACACAATTTCAAAACAGTACATTTTCTTATTACAGAAGAAAATTATCCACTATTTTGAAAACAGGACTAGTCAAGTGGAAATAAAAATAAAGGGGATCAATAGCCAAATCTATCTAAATGTATACATGCTTCATTATCTATATAATAAAAGCCTAAGTGACTGTTACGGCAGAACAACCAGAACGATCGGTCAATATGATGCACACTGACCACTAGGGGGCAGATGCTCAATACAGGAGCTGCCCCCTGGTGGTCAGTGCGCTCCCACAGGGATAGCACTGCTCAGCCAGAAACCTGGCTCATGGCTGGCAAGCAGAGCGGCGGAGGCGGTGCTAAGAAGCAGCGAGCAGGCAGGCAGTAAGGAGCGAGGGGTCCCGGAATGCAAGAGGGATGTCCAACTGCAGGCTTAGGGGAGCGGGCCTAAGCTGGCAGGCGGACATCCCCCGAGGGGTCTTGGACTACAAAGGGCACAAGCTGAGTTGAGGGCCCCACCCCCAACAGTGCATGAATTTCAGGCACCGGGCCTCTAGTCTATAATAAAAGCGTAATATGCTAATTAGACCAGACAGCCGAATGACCTTCCGGACGAAACTGGGGCTGCGAGGGCCGAGGCAAGCCACCGTGGCTGCGAGGGCTGAGGCCCTTGCACGCATCTCATGCATCGGGCCTCTAGTATTATATAAAGTCCTAACAAAATATATCCACAAATTAATATATTAAAAATCAATGCCTCGCCCTAACCGGTTTGGCTCAGTAGATAGAGCGTAGGCCTGCGGACTCAAGGGTCCCAGGTTCGATTCTGGTCAAGGGCATGTACCTTGGTTGCGGGCACAGCCCCAGTAGGGAGTGTGCAGGAGGCAGCTGATTGATGTCTCTCTCACATCCATGTTTCTAACTCTCTATCCCTCTCCCTTCCTCTCTGTAAAAAAAAAAAAAAATCAATAAAATATATTTAAAGAAAAAAAAAAATCAATGCCTCTATCAGCCATGGGCAAACTACGGCCCGCAGGCCGGATCAGGCCCATTTGAAATGAATAAAACTAAAAAAAAAAAAAGACCGTACCCTTTTATGTAATGATGTTTACTTTGAATTTATATTAGTTCACACAAACACTCCATCCATGCTTTTGTTCCGGCCCTCCGGTCCAGTTTAAGAACCCATTGTGGCCCTCGAGTCAAAAAGTTTGCCCACCCCTGACTAGGAGGTATAATTTTCAGGGGAAGGGGGGGAAATAAACTTTAATGATTGTCAATAAATTATCTTTCTTTTTATCTTTCATTATTGCACTCACCTCAGCAGTTCGTCTTGCTTCTTTGATCATGGACTCCAATCCACCAAAAACACTATTTGTTGATTTGGAAGCCTCTCCATCAGATTCACTGTCATCTGAATCATTCAGTGTTACAACCACTGATTTATGCTTTGGAAGCTGCAAAGACAATATATTTGCTACCCTTGATGACAAAAGTATCTCTATCCTGTTTGTGGCTCTACCACAATTAGCTGCGTGGCCTTGAACAAGTCATTTAACCTCTTCAAATTTCAATCCATAAAAATAATGGGTTCCAAGTAGACAGTCTATGGTTCCTTCTAGTTACACTGCATAACTGACTTTGTCCCACTCTAGCAATACTGGTTACCTGCCAAAAACATACAATATTCTATATTCTTTAAGAACACTACTATGATCACCTTCTTCATTAAGTTTTATTTTCTCCACTTTCTATAAAGAACCATAATGCCATCTTTAAATTAACTCTTACAACCAAGATAAAAATAATTCTAAATAATTATTTTAAAAACATTTTGGCTTTTGCATTTATAATGTAGAGGGTAAGTGACTAACGTTGGTTTACCTAACGGAGGCAAGATTGCATTTTAGCTTTGCCCCATTTATTTTACATAAAAGCCATTAGAAAACAAGGCAGAAAAAACTGTCATTTCCATCTCCTTAATAAACATCATAAATTCTTACATTACAGTACAGTCATTAATTAGAAAAATATGAACAAAGTATAAAGACAGGAAAAATAAAAATATACAATTTGCTAAAATTAACTGTAAAATAGACAGAAATCCTGAATGGACCAATGTATATAAAAAAAAAAACTGAGGAAAGCATACCACTCTGATGAAAATAATGCTTCCCCCATAACATTATCATAAACTCCACCATTTTTCAAGTGAAGATGAACCCATTTCATTATTAATACATAAAAAAATAAATTTGTATTTACATTTGGCTTCATATGTGTATATAAATAAACAAGGAGGGAACAAGACGGTGAAACTGCATACAAATTTCTCACAGGCTGTTTGAATAACAGTAGGATTAAATATTTTGTTTGTTTTTTTTACCGAGATCACAGTTCGTGGAAGACGAGGTCCTCTGTGAAACTTTGGGTTCTGTATCCTAGGCTGAGATACTGTATTAATACTGACTATTGACAGATTGCTTCTTGGCACAGGCTGTGAATTGTTCAGAGCTGGAGGTGAAGGTGGGTCACTATTACTGGATGTTTCCTAAATTGGAAAGAGACAGATATGAAACACTAAAAAAAAAAAAAAAATTTCTGTTGTCTTTAAAAATCTTGAGCAAATTAGTGCCACACTTATCCCTACTTTATACAAACACAATGAATTCCAAATAACAAGAGAAGGGTAGGGCTTCCTAAAACTTAAGCTCATGAGCACCACCTAGCGGTTCAGGTATCTAAATTACCTCTGGCTTAAAAGCTCTTTTATTTGCTAGAGATTTAAGTAGTTCTTCTCGAAGCAGCATTTCTTCCTCCTCTTCCTCATCTGCAAAAGGTGGTTTTGGAGGCTGTTCTGGATCTTCAGGTGGAAGAGGTGGTAAAGGTGGTACAGGAGGTAGAGGTTCAAGAGAAACACACAATCCTTCCACATAAGGCTGGCTCAAAAGTGGCAAAGACTAGTTGTTTTTTTAAAAAAAAAAAAAGAAGAAATAATAATTACCATGCAAATCATACCAATTCCAAATGTTTATCTGTGAAGCATCATTAAATTAGAAAAAGGTAAGCTTTAGGTTATTATTTAACTATAAGTGTAAGTATTTATAAATCTCAAAAACTATCCATGAATTCAATATTCAGCCATGAAAAGTTTAATTTTTGCAATAAAAATAAAATCAATATTTGAACTTTAAGATAATTATACAAACTCTTACATTCCTATTCTTATCTTTATTTAGCAATATAAAGAATAAAAATTTTATAAGGTCTATCCCTCTAGATAACTACCTGAAAGCAAGTAGAGATACTGAAAAACCATATTTAAATAAAAATAAAAAATTAGGAACCAGGAATTCTCGAAAATACATAGTACAGAGTATCTTAAGAAATAAGCTCCAAGCACTGGCCAGTTGCTCAATGGTTAGAGCATCTGCCTGCAGACCTAAGGGTCTCAGGTTCTATTCCAGGTCAAGGGCACAACCTGGGTTGCAGGTTCAATCCCCAGCCCCAGTCAGGGCACGTGCAGGAGGCAACCAATTGAGGTGTCTCTCATCCCATCAATATCTGTCTGTCTCTCTCTTTCTCCCCCCCACCCCTTTCCTTTCCACTCTCTAAAAATCAATAATATCAATGGAAAAAATATCCTTGGGTGATGATTAACAAAAGAAAAAAAGAGAGAGAAAAAGAAAAAAGAAACAAGTGCCAGGAAGATTCCCCACTACCCGCTTAAATCCTTGTGAAATGGCCTGTTAGAGAGTATCTATAAAAAAAACTAATTTTCCCAATTTACTGAGTTTAAATATATTTTTGCTTCAAATACCTTCCAGTATTACTCTTGGCATTTAAAACAGTTCAAGGAAGAAATAAAAATGTTTTCTCTCTCACTCTGCTCTATATTTCCCTCACTTTATACTTCCTAGGAGGACACCAGATGTCTACCTAGGAACTCTGAAATGGCAAAATTCCCTCTAACCTACGGACAAAGATTCAGTTTGGTCTCTAGGATCTCTCAGTCTAGAAATAAACTTTGACTTTATGATTTCTCCACATTCTTTTCATTTTTTCTTTTGAAAAAAATCTACCAAATGTATAGCCTGCCAATGAATAATCAACTGCTTAGTCCATAGATTTCATAGCTATTAATTTTGATAAACAATTCTGATTTTTTTAAAAGCTCTCTTCAAACCTAATCATTCATTAATTACATGCCAGTTTTCAAACAAATTAGAAATGACACAAAGCAACAAAATGTTTTTAGAACTAATATCAATTCTCACTTACAGTAACCTGAGGTGGTGGAGGCAAAGAAATAGATGGTGCTGAAGAAAAATATCCCACTGTACATTCAGCAAAGAATGGTTGTTGCACCGGTGAAGGAGCTGAAAAAAATTTTTTAAAAGTTTAATAACAGAAATACCTCTACATGGATAATTTAAATTTATGTACATTTGTAGAAATTCAAATGCATCTAGGTAGAGTACAAATTAGACTTTCTTAATCTCTAATAAAATCTTTAATTATCAAGAGACCACTTCCACCTATTTAAAATTTTCCTTACATCACCATAAAGTTAGCCTTTCACTTTGTTCTAATTTTCAGCTAATGATGATAACAGGGAATAGAGCAGGAAGGGCTAAAAACATATATTTTTTTTTACAAATATACTTTTTAAGGAATAAAACAAAAAATTCCCCAAACTGCCAAAGTGCCCGAACTAAAGGAAAACAGTGATGTGGTGACTCCATTCTTCCCTTCATGTCGATCAAAGAAAGTGAAATTGAGTAAGTTGTGTAGAAAGCAAATGGGACTAGAAATGAATTGCCTACTGTATTTAATCAATAAAGTACACATTAATAATTCTGAAATAATTACTGATGCTTCCCAGTTAAATTATTAGCATTTCTTCTTTCTTAGCAGATAAAAATAAGGAAATGGTTTCTTAAGACTCAATAAAATATTGCAGATTCAAACTACTCTTGCTACCCAGTAACCTTAGAGAAAAACTAATGTTTCTTTTTTGTCCCAGTTGTCTCACAAGTCAATATAGACATTACCCACATGACTTCTATGGGGTTGATTTGTGGCCCATTGGAATATACATTGGCCTTTAGAACATTTTACTTCTTAAAAATATCTATAATGAATTTAATTCTTTTTTACAAAATTTTTTAAACGTACAGATCATAACATTATTTTATGGGAATACAGAGTATTAATAATATTGTCAACACTTGGGAATTACTATGAATCATCTCTAAGAACCTAGAAATAAGAAAATGAAAGATTGACCAGAGAGAGTTAAATTATGAAATCAAAACATATCATGTAAGATTATCAAACATGAGCCTAAAAACAATAAACATTACCCAAATCAGACTTTGCCTTGTCTCTGGTCTAGACACACTAAAAGTAGGATTCTAGCTTGAAATATACCGATCATAAGATCTTATTTAAATAAGTATTCCAGCTCTAAATGCCAAATGTATTCAGTTGTCTGCTTCAGTTTTATGTGTTTTAATTAGTGAGAATAGCCATCTCACAGCCCATCACCCCTGAATATCAACTAAAGCAAGTCTCTAGCTCTCCAGGTTAGAGTCACATCTTAGAATATGTAATCTATTTGAGGTACAGCCCTGACCAGTTCTAACTAGTCTTTCCTGAGATGCCACTAGTATCACCGTCCATCTCCTAATTCCTACAAAGTATCATCATGGGAAGGAGGAAGAAGGAAGCCTAAAAGCAAGTTAGATCCTTTTGAATAAAATTCAAAATATCTTGGATATAAAGATACTTAAGATCAAAGGTTTGTTCACGTTTTTTGTGTTTTTTTTTTCATAAAGCAGTATTCTCATCTGTTTTTAAAATCTTCACTTTTTGGACCAAAGAGTTAAGAGTTTGAACACTGTCTTTCTATTTAAATGCTATCCGGAAGAAACAATGGGAAATAAAGGTTAATATTACACATTTGAAATTTGCTCTCAAAGTATTTACAACACCAAATAACGCCTATGGTTGAACAATCCACTAACAAATCTCACGTTCATTACATTACTTTCAAGGTTTGGGGCAGTTTCATGACCATTTTCTATTTAATAATTATGAATATGCAAATGTATTAAGAGTTTTAGCTCATACCTGGAGAACTGGTTTCACTATCTGTATCCATAGCAACTTCTTCATAGTTATCATATTGATAAATGCCTCCTCCACTATCAGTTGGTTGCTTATCTAAGGATCGTCTCAGGTCGGGATCTGAAGACTAATTACACAAGATATTTAGTTTCACAGCATTTTCTTAGTCTATTCTTAGACTAGAAATTATAAAACAATTAGTAGTTATTTTCTAGGAAACAGTATCAAAACTCATGGTGCTCCAGTTAGAATTTCCTATCACATCTTATTTGGGAAATTCATTGTACATGACAGGTAGTTGATAACTGTCAGATAAAAAAAATGGAAACTATCAGGGACTATCTACACAGATGAAATCCTCCATAGTTAGCTGAGCTACTCATTACCTATCCTATATAATAAAAGGCTAATATGCAAATCAACCAAACAGCAGAACAACCAGTTGCTATGACACACACTGACCACCAGGGGGCAGACAACGCAGGAGCTGGCCCCTGGTGGTCAGTGCGCTCCCACAGGGGGAGCGCTGCTCATCCAGAAGCTGGGCTCACGGTTGGTGAGTGCAGCAGCAGTGGCAGGAGCCTCTCCCGCCTCCGCGGCAGCGCTAAGGATGTCCGACTGATGGCTTAGGCCAGAGGTGGGCAACCCCTGGTACGCATGCCAAACATGGCACGCCAGTAACTTTTGCTGGCATGCGAAACCCCCTCTTATAATCTTCCATTTACAATTGTGAATCTTTGTTCTCAGTGATGAATTTTGTAATAGGAGTAGCCTGGCGGATGAAAGTGGTAGCTCGTGCATATCTCTGAAGGTCATGAAATATAAACCTGATGTAAAATCTGTCATCAGTGATGCAGCAGCAAAAGTCCCACTGATAATATCAAACGGAGTCATAAAGTTTTCTGTCGGACTATCAGTGTACATGTATACATTAAAAAATAAATGTACTTTTCATCATCATATACTGTGTTTTTGTCGCTCAAATAAATTTTATTATTTCATCAAGGTTCTTCACATACATACACCTTAAGAGATATCAAGTAGGCGTAACATGTTCTCAGAAAATTAGAGTTGGCACGCAGAAGAATTTTGAGTCAGAGATTTTGCTGGTTTTGGCACACACTCACAAAAAGGTTGCCCACCCCTGGCTTAGGCCCATCAGTCGGACATCCCCTGAGGGCTCCCAGACTACGAGAGGGCGCAGGCCAGGCTGAGGGACCCTTTCCCCCACCGTCCCTGCGCACCGGGCCTCTATTTCCTCTATAAAATGACACCAAAATCTTTATACTTATGGCCTCTCCCAGTATAAAAAACTAGACTAGACAAGCCCTGACTGGTGTGGCTCAGTTGGTTAGAGTATCATCCAATGCACCAAAGGGTCACACGTTCAATTCCCAGTTAGGCCACATACCTGGGTTGGGGATTCGATCCCCAGTTGGGGTGAGGACAGGAGGCAACCAATTAATATCTCTCTCTCTCTCTCTCTCCCTCTCCCTCTCCTTTTCTCTCTCTCTAGAATCAAAGAAAAATATGTCCTCTGGTGAGAATTAAAAGATAAATAAATAAATAATTCAAGTATTATATCATCAAAACTGTATTTAGATTCTTTCCAAAAAACAGTTACATTTTAGCTATAAATAAATTAATAGCTGAAAACTAGAAACTCTTGGTCGATATAATTGCATATTTTCTTTTTTACTTCTTACAATGTTTCACTCACAGAGATGTTTTATAACAAACTAAAAACAGCAAAACCTATACAGATGGATATAGGAGTAATGTGCAAATACAATATTTTTCTCTAAATGAAGATTCTATCAAAGTGTTTTTTAGAAGTTCAAATTTACAAATTCCTTGCTTAAGAAAATGAAACTCCTGAATCCCTAAAATTAAAGAGCTCTTACTCTTAATAGCATCTCTATTCCTCTTAGTACATTCACAAGTGTAGTCTCAAAGCTCAGAGTTCTAAAAATTATCACTGATAACACTAGATCAATATCAAATTTCCGATATACTTCCTGGCACCATCCATAAAAGAGAATTAGTCATTCAGTCATTACCAATGATTCATATATACTAAAGGCTCACAATTGCTTGATAACTAAACAGCCACTAAGCCACCCGGCTGGCGTGGCTCAGTGGTTGAGCATCAACCTATGAACCAGGAGATCACACGGTTCAATTCTCAGTCAAGGCACATGCCCAGGTGTGGGCTCAATCCCCAGTAGGGGGCGTGCAGAGGGCAACCAATCAATGATTCTCTCTCATCATCGATGTTTCTCTCTTTCTCTCCCTCTCCCTTCCTCTCTGAAATCAATAAAAATATATGTAAAAGTAAGTAAATAAATAGCCACTAAGGCTATTATTAGATGATGATTTAACTTTCTTTAAAATAGTCTATCAATTAAGCATCACACACTTATAACTCTACATTACTAAATAATGAAAAATTAACGAAATTCTGCCCTGTACTTAGGTAGCAGCCTTTTTAGAATAAGTCCTCACTACAATTTAGTAATCCTACTTTCATCTAACTAGAAAATGATAAAAAAAGCTAAATGTAGGATTTGCTAACCATGATTTTAGTCTTTCTTTTATTTCTTCTATTTTCAACATCTGTAACTATGAAAGACTCATTTTCAATTATAACCTACCTTTCCTTCTCCCCCAAAAAAGTTATATAAGCTGTATCAAACACAAGAACTTTATGTTTTTCAGTTGACTGAATCTATGAAATAAAATGGTAAGGACTCTTAAATTTGAGTAGTGCTTTGATTTCATATTCTTACACTCACTTTACTTCTTGACCGCCTCTTTCCACCAACCAATTTCATGAATCGATTGTACTGCTCTTCCTGATTTGAGAGATCTCGAATTTTTCTGATTTCTTCCTCTCTTTTCCTTCTCTCTTCTTCTTCAGCTTGTTTCCGCAGTTCCTCTTCTTTCAGTCTTTCCTGTTCTTTTTGTTGTTGTAGTTTCTTCCATGCCTTTGTTTGCTGCTTCCTCAATGCTTGTTTAGCTTTAAATGAAAAATGTAGAAACATCAGTTATCTATCAGAGTTAGAATTTTCTAAAGGATAAAAGAAAACAAGAGCTTTACAAATAATTTTCATTATCAAGTCCTCAGTTCTGTTTACATAGAATTGTCCTCTATTCAAGGCCATATAATTCTCCACACTCAAAACTTTCTGAGTTAAAATCTAGACACTATACTGATAGATAAAATCATTTAAAAGAATTTAACAAAAATGATCACCTGTAGTGCTAACTTTTTTGGCCGAATGTGTTTTTGTACTGGTTTTAACTTTTTGCTGTACGGCTTTCATCTTAGTCAATTTTTCTTTGCTTTCTTTCATCACCTGCTGTTCTTTTTGTTGCCATTTTTTACTGGCTGACTGAAGAGCCAAAAGACGAAGTTGTAGTTCAGATAGTTCCTCTTCATCTTCACCAAGTTTCTTAAAAAAAAAAAAGTTGCAATTTTTAAATTATTTGACCCTAAACATTTCACCAAGTCAAATCTTTTATGTCATCAAAATTTAATGATGGTTCTAAGGCAAATATTCAAATGACAAATATAAATAAAGTAAGAAAACAAGATTACTTACCATAGCCCTAGACCCTAATTTAGTCCCTATAATATAAACAGAAGATCAATCTGTACATATGTTCATGTGTAGGGTTGGAGGGAAAGGATACAACTGATGAAGCAAGATAATACAAAAAAATAAAAAAGAAGGCCTGGCCTGTGTAGCTCAGTAGGTTGGGTGTTGTCATATGCATCAGGAGACAGCCAGTTCAATTCCTGGTCAAGGACACATGCCCGGGTTGCAGGCTCGATCCCCACTATTTTCCCACTATTGGGAAAGAGGGTATGCAGGAGGCAGTGGATCAATGTTGCACTCTTTAATCGATGTTTCTCTCTCTCTCCCTCCCCTTCTCTCTAATAATCAATAAACTATTCTTAAAATAAAAAAGGAAAGTTAAGGGTTAGAGATTAGCATTTAACTGGGCTTTCCAAACAAAAAGAATTAAAATCTAGAAGCCAGTGAACAAAAAAAATTTTTAAAATTCAATCCAGGATCCAGGAGAGATAAGGAATGAAGAATAAAGTGGTTATCGTGTGAGTAATACAGAGAACTGGTACATTGAAAGTCAAGATTCAAAGTTGCAAACTTTAAAAATATGTGTATTTTATAACTCTAGTGTTGAAAAAAATGATGTAAAGACTTGCTTATATTCGAACATTACATGTTCTAAACCTATAAATATTTATCTGAATATTTAAAATATTTTAAACACCCAAGACTTTTCTTCAGAAAAGCTAAAACAGGAAGACAGATTCAGAGCAAATGTTTGAGAACTTTTTTTCTGATTGAAAAGACCTCTTTTGAGAGAATTTTATAAATTAAATTCTATACATTTTAGCTAAAATATAACTGAAAATGTCAGGCAATCTAAGCAGAGGTTCTTAATTGGAGTGCATGAATTTGCAGGGGAATAAGGTAAGACAGAGGTTTGGTTCTTTGGCCTCCCCACCCCTTAAAGTTAAATGCAAAATTGTATATGTTTTTCTTTTATGTGTATGTTGGGAGAAAGAGGCAAAAAAATCAAAAGTCTAAGACTTAAAAAGGTCAAAGATCACTTATCTAATAACTATTAAAAAATATGTTCTTACTAGAGGCCCGGGGCACAAATTCATGCACGGGTGGGGGTCCGGCCGGAATGAGGGGCCGTGGGCGGTTGGCCAGCCATGCCCTGCCCCCTGGTCAAACTCCTGGTCAAGAGGACAATTTGCATATTAGCCTTTTATTATATAGGATTGTGATTTTTAGATAGAGAAAAAGGGAGAGGGGGAGAGAGAAACATCGGTGAGAGAGACACATTGATCTGCTGCCTCCTGCATGTCCCCTACTGGGGATCAAGCCCACAACCTGGGTATGTGCCCTGACCGGAAATCGAACCAGGGACCTGCCTGCTGGTCTGTGAAATGATGCTCAGTCCACTGAGCCACACCATCCGGGCTCTAATGACTTTTTCTTATATGTGAATTGTAATTACATTTTTCCTAAAACCCAATTATTTAATTCTTAAGCATAAATAAACAGTAGTTCCTATATCAACAGGTTTCACCCTTACATGAACTATTATAAATCCCTAACTGAACTACCATTACGTCAGTTTATACAAACCAGGATATAGTTACCTTTCCCACTATTGGGAAATATATGTAAAAAATGAGTTTTAAAATTATCATGATTCTTTTTTACTCTATAGTCACTTAAACATACCAAATTCTACTGCTTGGTACTAAAGTTCTAGAGCCATGTTGTCCAATATAGTAGCAATGAGTCACATCTGGCTACTTAAATTTAAATAACCAAAACTGAATACAAAATTCAGTTCCTCAGCCACAATAATCATTTCAAGTGCTTAACAGCCACAAGTGGTTTAACACCTACCATATTAAAGAGTACAGATATAGAACATTTCCATTATTATAGAAAATTCTATTAGATTTTGGACAGTGCTGATCTAGAGAGTTTAAAATAAAGCTATCATCAGTTCCATTGAGACTTAAAAGTCTTCGATTACTTTTTGCAACTATCCTTTTAGAATAAAAGAAAGAAACCACTGCCCTAACCGGTTTGGCTCAGTGGATAGAGCGTTAGCCTGCAGACTGAAAAGTCCCAGGTTCGATTCCGGTCAAGGGCATGTACCCTTGATTGTGGGCACATCCCCAGTAGGGGGTATGCAGGAGGCAACTGATCAATGTTTCTCTCTCATCGATGTTTCTAACTCTCTCTCCCTTCCTCTCTGTAAAAAAATCAATAAAATATATTTTTTTTTAAAAAAAAGAAAGAAACCACTGATTCTACTGTGCAACTATATGCTATTTAAAGCAGCTATTTGATCAGCAAGAAGGGCACTGAACCTCATTCAACTCTTTGCTCTGATGTTTAAGTCCTATGTAACTATAGGCAAGTCATTTAACCTGTATAAATTTTACCTTATCTGTAAAACAGATAGTCAACTTACAAAATTGCTGGGAAGATATTAAAAAACATATACACATATATATGCATGAATATGCATGTGTTCCGTGTGCATGTGTGTGTATCTGTTATATTATCATCCTTAAATGCAGGACCACCTCTTTCCTAAAGCTCCTAGGCCAGGGGTGGGCAAACTTTTTGACTCGAGGGCCACAATGGGTTCTTAAACTGGACCGGAGGGCCGGAATAAAAGCATGGATGGAGTGTTTGTGTGAACTAATATAAATTCAAAGTAAACATCATTACATAAAAGGGTACGGTCTTTTTTTTTTTTAGTTTTATTCATTTCAAACGGGCCGGATTCGGCCCGCGGGCCGTAGTTTGCCCACGGCTGTCCTAGGCTCTTTGCATCATTACCATTTACTCATAAAAACTAGCTGAAATCTTAAATGCAGCTATTTCCAGATCTCTAATTGAACAACAACAAAAAAAGGCTTGGATTATTAACTGCCTATTAAATGTCAAACACGGTGTTTGATGCCTCTGTATTTTATCCTGTGGAACCTCACAACAAACCCAGAGAACAGATGACATTAAACTCACTTTGTAAAGAAGAAAAACAGAGGCAAGCAAAGGCTTACACAAGATCAGTCAGCTGCACAGCCAGCGTGCCTGTGGTTGAGTGTTGACCAATGAACCAGAAGGTCACAGTTTGATTACCAGTCAGGGCACATGCCCAGGTTGAGGGCTCAATCCCCAGTGTGGGGCATTGCAGGAGACAACCGATCAATGATTCTCTTTATCATTGATGTTTCAATCTCTCTCCCTCTCCCTTCCTCTCTGAAATCAATAAAAATACATATTTTTTTAAAAACCAATCAGCTAAGAGGAGCTAGAATTGGATACCAGGTCAAGGTTTGTCTAACTCCGAAGCTTTCCCACACAGGATAATGCCTCCCATAATTAAAAAATAAAATTATCTGGATGAAAATTAAGTTTCAAAAAACAAAGAGATCATCTAAGGAAATAAATAACACTTCAATTAAACACAATTTAATTGAACCTAGTGAAAAAATACTCTAAGATGTCTATCCAGATTTTCTTATCTTTAAGCTTATGTCCAAATAAAGATATCACAAAGATGAAAGTAAATTAGTAAAAAGCAAGACAATTTCCCTTTCGAAAGAACAGAGTAAAGCAGTACAACTGTCAGTCTTATAGAGCTATCCAATTCCACAAAATAGTATCTTACCTTTTCAGATAGAATATCTGAGGCACTAAGCCGTCTTGTTAAATTTTGTTCCTTATCTTCTAATCCTTTAAAATAAAACAGCATACTTTGAGGGAGCTATAATCAACTTAAAATAAATGCTATATAATGTTTGATATTAATTATTTTAAAGGGTCTCATTTTCTCAATCTCTCAAGCAAAAGAATGTTGTTAGAGAAAATGAAAATCTGACTAAACTCATATTGGCTTCATTTCTAAAAGTTAGAAAGCTGGTGGTTCAAAATATTAAATTATAAATTAAAAGCCCATTTTGATAAAAATATTTTTAAACGAAAAATTATTATAAATGAGAACTACAGAAATAGACAACAAGCAAAGCTTCATCATTATAAAACAGATAATACACATTGATAAAATATAATTAATTCACACCTCTAAATGAAATGAACTCAACATTTAGAGATTGTATTGGATTTATACACCAAAGAAATGGTCCTCTATCTAGAAAAGCATCAGCACAAGTAGGTTAAGTACCAATAAATTAAATCCAACCAACATTTTTCCAGAATTCTAGCCTTGGGCCCAGATTACTGGAAAAGTTATTTACAAAATCTTGTTTATGTATTATCTAACCTATAACTGCTCAACAATAAAGTTACACACAATAAAGTTACAGTATATTTACAATAGCATTGAGATACACTTCTGAAGCTAAAAGAGAGTCTTTCCTCAAGATGACACAAATGAAGTCTAAAGTCCAAGTTCAGTTTCCCCCCACCTCATCTGTCAGTGTTCCAAACATCCTAACTTGATTGCCTAGAGACCTACTGGTAAAAGAACGGACAACTTATTCAATAAATGGAGAAATTACTAAACAAGTACCCTAGACAAAGTAAGTAGAAGGCAACCACCAAATAAGCTTTAAGGCGTATTTTGAAAATGTGAGTTTGTTGCAACATGACTGATATATTAGAAAATAATTTGAGCATAACACAAATTTCATGTTTGCTTAAGTGTGATTTGTCTCCAAGAAACACTGCGAATGCAGAAAACTAACCCCCCGGTGATCCAAGCCATGTAGCAACAGAAAAACCCCACAAACTTTGAGCATCTACCAACTACTTCAGTTCAATGTGTATGTTATCAGCCACACTCATCCATATCTGGTGTAACAGCTTACTATCCAAATTCAGATAACCTTCCTTGCTCCACTTTATAATAATTCATAAGCTGCCCTAACCGGTTTGGCTCAGTGCATACAGCGTCAGCCTGTGGACTTAAAAGTCCCAGGTTGGATTCCGGTCAAGGGCATGTACCTTGGTTGTGGGCACATCCCCAGTAGGGGGTGTGCAGGAGGCAGCTGATCGATGTTTCTCTCTCATCAATGTTTCTAACTCTCTATCCCTCTCCCTTCGTCTCTGTAAAATCAATAAAATATATTTGTAAAAATAATAATAATTCATAAGCTGAAAATCTTCCACTTCCACACACACATTTTAGGTCTTTTTCAAAGTAAAATGACATTTATTGTAGTATTTGAAGCATTTTTTTTTACCCCTTTTAACATGTACAGCTGCACTACAATTTTTATTAGGCCCCTATCTTTTTTCATATGTCACTGACACAGTTTTTAAATGTTTCTCTAATTCTATTTTGTTCATAAACCCTGTGGTTTTTATTTTGCAAATTATGCAGAGTAGTGATTTATAGGAATGCATGTCATATTATAGCAAAATTGATCATACTTCAAAGAATACTAAAATGAAAAAAAATAAAGACATAAACAGACTTTCAGTAATAATTGTAGAAAGCACTAAACTTTGCTCCTACACGAGAAGCCTATTAGAGGATATATCTTATCTATAACTGGTGGCGGCATCCTGCTTTAAAGTAGCATAGAGGCAAGTATCCATTACACTAGCAGATATCTTATGAGCACGTTACCTTAAAAACAAGCACAAACCATAAATTTCACACTATAAATTTAACTTTACACAAATAATATAAAAGCAGGTTATTTTTTAAAACCAAGCATATAGTCACCAATGTCATGTGTCCACCAATAAAATGTGTCTCTACAATAAAATTATTTCAATTCTCAATACTTCCAAAATGAATGCAGTATTTTAAAAATTATTACATGGTATCCTAAACTGAGCTAGAGACAGTCATCATGATATAGGTAATAATTAAAACCATAATTGAAAACACCCCAGAAAAAATGGAACACTAAGGACATCAACAGTTAAGTTACCAAGAAATTTTTTAAAGAAAAATCAGAAAATTAAAAGAAATTCCAGAGAGGCCTGGCAGCCCAAGGCAGGGCCAACCCGGAGCGGCGGGAGGGGCGGGGTGCTGCGGCTGCGCTGGGCGTCTCCCACCCCGCCCTCGGCGCCCCTGCCCCTCCAGGAAGGGGAGGAGGCGAGGGGAGCCCGCCGCCGCCAAGGCTGACGAGCCCCCTGCCCAGCCTGGGGTCCCCTGCCCATGAGGTGGACGCCCCCCGGGAGTAAAAAAAAAAAAAAAAAAAAATTCCAGATGTGTATGGTATCACAGAAACCCCAAAATTTCAAGATTAGTGAGAAAAACATCACTGAATATCGATCTCAGAAGTCAAAGTGATCCTTTGAGAATATGTACAAAATAAATAATGCCAAGAATTTGCTCAAGAATCACTCAGAATAAAAACCAAAGTTCTTATATGGCTCTGCATGATCTATCCCTACGATCTTTGACCGCTTCTCTCCCACTATTCATCCCCCTCACTCTCTTTCTTAAAAAAATATGTTATTAATTTTTAGAGAGGGGAAGGGAGGAGGATGGAGAGATAGAAACATCAATGAGTGAGAAGCATCAATTGGCTGCCTCCTGCACGCCCCCTATTGGTGATCAAGCCTGCAACCCATGCACGTGCCCTGACTGGAAGTCAAACTACTGAGCTCTTAGTTCATGGATAGACGCTCAACCACTGGGCCACAAAAGCCGGCACTCTCTCTTCTTTAGTAGCACAGGCCTCTCAGTTATTCCCCAAATAATCCAGGCAACCCTCTGCCTTAGAGTCATTATTCTAGTTCAGCGATTTTCAGCTTGGGTGCCGCGAGAATTTTTAAAACATGTGATACCTGATTGCTTAGGAGCACTGACCTCTTCTCCTTTAAATTGTTAAATAAAAAAATAATAACAGCCAACTCAACAACAGCCATTCTGTATGAATTAATCAAAATTATACCTATTTTTTGTCAGATCAGCAAAAAATATATTTTCTGATGTACTGCAGAATTTTAGTAATTAGTTTATGTGTCATATGATGAAAAAGATGGAAAACCGTTGTCCTAGTTCAGTGATTCTCAAACTTTAGGAGGTATTAGAATCAACAGGAAGGCTTGTTAAATATAGATTGCTGCGCCCCACTTCCAGAGTTTCCAATTCAGTATCTGGAGTAGGGTCTGAGAATCTGCATTTCTATAAGTTCCCAGTTAATGCTGGTACAAGGACCACAGTATAAAAAAAAAAAAAAAAATTACTGCTCTAGCTATTCATTCTATTTGCCTAGAAACCTCTTCCCCCTGATATCCATTTGGCTATTTCCTCAGCGTCTTCAAAACTTGTGTTTAGCCCTAGCCGGTTTGACTCACTGGATAGAACATCGGCCTGGGGACTGAAGAGTCCCAGGTTCGATTCCGTTCAAGGGCATGTACCTTGGTTGCAGGCACATCCCCAGTAGGGGGTGTGCAAGAGGCAGCTGATTGATGCTTCTCTCTCATCGATGTTTCTAACTCTCTATCCCTCTCCCTTCCTCTCTGTAAAAAAATCAATAAAATATATTAAAAAAAAAAAAAAAAAAACTTGTGTTTAAATCTCACCTTCAAATTCAGGCCTCCTAATCACTCATTAATACCGCAACCTGGCCCTAACTAATTTGGCTCAGTGAATAGAGCGTCGGCCTATGGCCCAAAGGGTCCCGGGTTTGATTCCGTCAAGGGCACATACCTCAGTTGCAGGCTCCTCCCTGGGCCCGTGAAGGAGGCAACCAATCAATATGTTTCTCTGACATTGATATTTATTTCTGTCTTTCCCTTTCTCTTCCACGGTCTCTAAAACTCAATGGAAAAATATCCTTGGGTGAGGATTTAAAAAATAAAAAAATACTGCAACCTGTACCCGCTACCCCATCCTACTTACCCTCATTTCTCTCTTTCTAACACTGTTATTTACTGTCTCTTTTTCTAAAATGCAAGACCATGAAGGCATAAATTATTGACTATTTTGTTCAGTGATCTAGTTCCAAGAGCCTGGAATAAAGTGCTCCATTAATTTTTGAATGAATGAAATGAAAAAAGTGAAAATGAAAAATGAATTCCGCAATTAGTTCAACGTAACCTTGCCATCATTAGTTTCAGTATTCTTGTAAGGATGGAAAAGCAGACTGCACTTGGTTACAAAAGCATAAGCAGTAAAATAAAGAGAGTCAGCAAAGACTCGCTCTTTCCAGAAGTCTGGTTAAAAAGACAAGTTAAAGGAGAATGCAGGATGGGGAGGAGGGCATGCTTAAATTTTGGGATGGAACACTAAAATATGATCATAATAAAAACCCATTAAGAGAAAGTGGTTAAAGATTAATCAAAATACACAGATAGAGCAAGGTCCAGAGAAGGTGGGAGAAGTTAGAGCCAGGAATACAGGTTTGTACAAAGTGGCCATAAATGAGAAGAAGTACCACTTTTTCAGAGTGGAGGAACTGGAGTGAAAATCAGTATGGATATAAGTTTACAGTCAGGAAGTGAGAAGCTGGAAGTTGAATGAGATCACTTGAAGTAGAGGCAAGCTCATAGGCTGACAATAGAGATAAAGGCTGAGTAAAAGCCTGAAAAATGATGAAAGTTTAGAAGAGTTGAGAGAAATGGGGGAAAAAAAGAAAGAAAAAAAAAGATGACCAATAATTTTGAAGGTTTGATTGCAGAGCTGAGTCTTGCTGAAGATTGGAAGAGAAAATGCATAAGTAGAAATAATGTAACTTATTGATTCAGGTAAGTTTTATTCTTTTTGGTTTTCCCCCAATAACTCATTTATACTGCTGCCAGTTATCCTC